TGGTACGAGCTCAGAAGGCTCCAGGAGGGTCCAGTCATGCAACCTGCACAAGCAAACAGCAGTGCCCTTCTATGGTATGTAAATATGGGAGCGCCAACACCCCGCCCTTCTTCCACATGGAAGCTGGTCTCACCTAGACCACAAAGACGTGAAATGAATCCAGCCAAGAATGAAGCTTTTTCTCCGTCCTTTATTCGGGGCCCCAGTAAACCTTCTTTCATTACACACGTCGATAAACTGGGGGAGGGGAGCGCGCTCTTCTTGGCTGGCGATATGAAGGATTGCCTCATACAGGATCTTCTTTGTGAACAGGAGACTGAGAAGATCCCTATAGGCTTGATTTTTTCCCCCACAATCTCACTTTATAAGCACATTTCCCAGTGGAAGGACAGTCCAAAGCTGAAGGTACTCTGAACTACTTGGCATCCAGAAGAGACTTTGGAAGAAACCCTTAAAACACTCATTCATCCACTTCTCTTTTTGCCTAGGGATGTTGTGGAACATCCACAATTATAAGTTTTTAAGAACATGTTCACAGAAGCCATTCCTGAGCAATGCAGATAGAAGTGATACTGCTTTAGAAAGTATAAACACCATTTCTCAAAGGCTCTTCCAGCCTTACTTTCTATGATCCATTTTCCAGTCCCAGTCTTTATCTCTTGAGTTTTCATGCAGATTTTCTCCTATTACTCTTCACCCCTTTGCATCCATACTCTTTCGTCTGAATTCATTCCCTATCATTAAATATCTTTCTGCCATCATCCCCAAGTTTTCTTAGCAGCTGTTATTCCCTCACCACCAAAGGCGGCTCAGAACAGCAGTTCTCCATGGCAGCTCAGAAGAACCCAAGATGCAATTTCTCAGTAGAGCAAAATCCCTCTGCTCCTTAGACAGACGGACAGTCTGTTAATTTTCTGCCAGTGTGCTGCTGGGCTCCCAAATTAAAACAAGAACTAAACTAGCTCCCAGGACACAAGCAACATATGTTAGATGTCTAGGCAACCACCCTCTCCATACCCCATCCTGACTTCACTTAACTCCTTCTCCTCTTCAGCCTGCAGAAATAAAGCAGTATCTCACAGGTCACAGATAGAAGCTGCTTCTGCTGCAAAAACCTCACCTCAACAGCATGGTTGGCCAAAAGCCCTTTCAATCTGCTATCACCCAAAAGCAGGGCAAGATTCTCCACTAATTATTGGGGAGGGGGCTACACAAAGAAGGGGGCATTGCCAAACCTTGCGGTGATGTAAACCTGCAACTGAATACATTAGGAGCCGTGGACGTCCCTTACGACAGCAGCGTCTTGGTCTGCTACCACAGGACGCTGTTCAGCAAAGCGCAAGATGTCAGAGGCAGCGAGTGCCATGCTGCCAGCTCGGCCCTGCCAGACCCGATGGCTGCTCCCAGCAACCCAGCCCGGTCTCGCCGCCTCACCCCTGCTCCCCCTCCACAACCGCACCAGGCCCCTGGAGACCAGCGACACGGCAGACAGGACCAGCTTGCCCGGATCCCCCATCGGCTCCCCAGCCTCAGGGCAAGGCCTCACGGCGAGAGCCTGGACCAGAGCCA